TTGAGCGAGAAAAGAACCAGCCCTCTTATCACCAGCAGCAACGACCAGCCGCGGATGGAGTTCCTTTAAGAGCTTCACCGCACGTGGACCCCACGGACCGATAGTCTCTACAGCAAATGGCACAAATATGTAGTCATCTCTCAGAGACTCATATTAGCGCCAGTTACTCAGTTCTGCTGCCTCTGATGCCGCCCCGGCTCTAAACGAGGTACCTCTGAGATGAGAGGCCGCCAGAGTGTCTACGCAAGTAGCATCCCACACTAGGGTTTTACCTCTCTCCCAAGGGACCAATGTCATACCGTCGGGTCTCCTGCCATCGTCTCTAAATTTTCCACAAGTCTCTAAAACCGAGGGAACATTTATAGAGACAAGAGCCCTTCGGATGACATCGTTTAAAAAACTGTGTCGTGAAAACCTACCAGCGCTTTTCTTACATGAAAGTCCGTGGAGCCCAAACTTGTCGACGCTGCTACCACAGGGGCACTCATGGGGTTGACAAAGCGCCGTTCCTAGTCGGATTCCTACGGCAATACGCAAGCTTTTTCCCCATCAAGTAATGTGCCGAGATTACTTGATGGTAAAGCGTGTAACCAGTGACTAGATTCCTTAGTCGAAACAGCTAGAAAGGCGTGCGTTATCTTGGTCACTATGGATATTTTGAAACAAATCTTTCTGCACGCCCCGTACCAACGGAATATCCCACTGTTTTTGTTGGTTAACTTCCAGTGGAACATTTTCACCTGGACAGAGCGTTTGCCATGTCTGCCCTGCCTCCGTAGCAAAGCATAGGTCTACTTTATTATTTTAAATTATGTTACATAAGTCACTGACGCTATGCACGGAAGCAAGGAAAGCAGGCAATGCAACGCTAGAAAGATTTCTCACACCAATGCCACCAAATTTTATAGGTAAAGTAGCTTGAGTCCAGGCTGTTGTATTTAAAGTTAAATTTAGAATTTTTTCTATAGCTATTTTAAGATTATTATCAATATCTTTTAAAATATTCGAACATTTCCAGACTGGACTCGAGCGAATTAAGTATGTAAATCTAGGTACAAGGAGACAATATTTTAAAATGGTAAGAGCTATGTGGGGATTTAATTTATATAATTTATCAACGTGGTTTAAAAACTGATCAAATTTTGTTTTTAAAACAGGTTTAATACTATCGAAAAACAAAGGGGCACCGAGCAGGTATAGTGATTGCGTACTGACAGTTTTTATTCCTGGAGAAACATGATTGAAATTTTGAATTAAGGTGTTTCTATGCTATTTGGTTCAAGACCAATATTTTTAAAATTTCGAAAAATTATGAGTAAGATTACTGAGGACGTCATCTGCTCTACCTCCCAGTGTACCGTCGTCCAGGTACCAGACATTCAGCTTGGATTTCAAATTTGATATAATGGGTTGAAGTCCCTAACTGAAAAGTGCTGGGCCTAGTGCGTCACCCTGCTGAACACCGACAGCAGAAACGATAACATAGTATTCGTAAAACAAGTTAGTATTTTGACTATAACATTGCCAAACGTAATGATAAAATTTAGGGGTATGTTAGCCACTTCTTTCAGCAAGGTTACCCTATCAATAGAGTTAAAAGCATTCCTTAGGTCACCTACCTTCACAGGAACATCTGCATCAGAATTTGTTAAAAATGTACGCACTGAATGTACCGTCACCTCACAGACATCTCTCGTGCCAAAGCCTAGTTAAGTAGGCTGAAATTTGGTCTTAAGGTTAGAGATTATGTGCCTGCAAGCTAATTTTGAAGTTAAGCGTCGAAATGTAGAATCAACGGCAATAGGACGAATACCGTTATACTTTTTTTTGAAGGCTCTTAACTTGCCCCATATATGAATGGAATGAAATTTGGATTAACATTACCAGAAAGCTTAAAGTTACATAATTTTGTAATGTCTTTAAGAAGTACTCCGCTGGCGTCACCGGCAGAAGCGCTTACAAGATCTTTAAGATGTTGAGGCGTAATTCCGTCAATGCCGCCAGCAGAGCCATTCGAAAATGACATAATTGCCTCTAAAGTGTTTTTTTCAGAAATTTGTAAAGGTTGCATAGAAAAGACTTCTATGCAACCTTTACAAATTTCTGTCAAAAGTCTTGGGAGGCAGCGGTAAGTCCTGAGAAGATTTGACCGAAGGATGCTTCTAACGAAGGCTTTCACGAGTTTCGACATTACGAGGAGCCAGGATGTCGTCTGAGAATAAAATACAGGATGCATTTTTTAAGTCACCATCCATTACTTTCGACTAAACTACTTTTCTTAAATCAAATTTAGGCCGTGGTCGAGATAAATGAGTATTAATTGGGTAATGAAAATTTTGAAAAGATTTCTCTTTTAGTTGAGACGTAATTGATTTATTTATTGTTTTATCAAAATGTCAATGGGAATATGCGAACGTAAATAATTTTTGCCAACTATTTTCACTATTTGTGAAACAATTTTGAATAGTGCATGACAATGCTTTAGCAAGCTGCATCCTCGCACCTCTAGGAATTCTTTTAACCACTGGTACATTACGATGATAATTGTAAATTTACTAATAGAGTTATGAATTTCTACGGTAGGCTGTGAAGCCGAAATACTTTTACTATGGCATCGTTTAATATGTATATTTAAACCCCTTTTACCTTTAAACAGTTTACCGTCGGCACAATTTTGACACTGTAGGAAATCCGGCTGTGAATATAGCGGAGCAGAGATATTCATTAAAAAATCTAAACAAATCTCTACAGCACTCAAAAGTATTTATATTACATAACTTCATATTTAATTGCTGCTGTACCCCGCATCTTTCCCTGAAACAATCATTTACGGACTAAATAAAAGCACTTTACTCTATAAATAAAATATTATTACATTACTTCCCTGGATTTATTCCATACTGATAAAAAATTGTTTGTAGTCGTTATGTTTTGACAGTTGACAACGACGCAGCAGAAATATTTTCCTTTATAAATGAGAATTATGTCTGAAATCAAAAAAAAATATTATAACAACTCTCTTATATATTTACTCATCTTTTTATTGAAATTTATAAGCCAGAATTGGCCTCTAAATAACGAAATAAAATAAGTTAAATATACGTAGCTTTGGACAGTGAAAAATCATTTTTTTTTAATTATATTTTTCAATTCTTTCTGTTTCTTCTTTAACGTCTTTCATAGCCATCGTATTCGTCACAAGTGTCTATTGACGGTAGTTTAAAACTAAGGTTAAATTTTGTATTGAGTATGTTTCGATATAACCATTGTTTTGCGATGAGGTTGTCAGGTGTTCCTTCTTTTATCATGAGTTCGTTGTAATGTTGGTACATTGTTACAATGTTACTATTATTTTATCGTAAACTTTAGATGCATAAAAGCTTATCTGCTAAAGAGTCCAGCATGTGAGACCAAACATTTTATGTGGATTATAGTTTGAATTTAAATACGGCTCATAAAACTTTTCATAATTTTTTTGCATAGAGGTGTAAGTAAACATAAAAGCTCATGCGTCCTAGCCTTTTCAGAAAGTCTGTAAATCCGACTTTATGCACGCGTGTATCTTGTCAATGGTTGGAGACAGAAATATCTAGGTCAGATTGTTAGAAAGAGAAATAAAACCTTAATTTCGCTATAATAAAAAGTTATTTTGGTCGAATCTATACATCCGACCTAGAGCCTAAATAATAATGCATCTGATGTCAAGATTTGTTATTTAAAAGAGTTGTTTACACAAGTAGAACCAACATCAAGTATTTTCTAGCTAGCTCAAAAATGATTTTGCGATTTGTGCAGATAGAACCTTGTTTACCCAACGCAACGATGTGTTTAAAGTCTTAGAGAAAACAATTTGGAGCTAATCCAGAGCTTGCTATATCTCACAATTTAAATTTAAAATAAAAAATATATTAGTAGTCAATAGGATTACTTTTCTGCCTAGGAGAACGTCTGTTTGTGTATCACTATCTTAATTATTTTTGCGGCTAGGCGAGAGTACAGCCACTGATATATTTCGATTTAATGGGTAATGGAGAGCCCCAATGCAGAGAATATGAGATATCTGCGACATAATATGAACGACAGACAACTCAAGTCGTGATCGTGATCAACATGCGACTGCTAAATAGGGCGGACAGCGCCAATGCCACATAATGTTACCTTAATATATTATGGTGCGTTGACTGCCAGGCCGCCGCACCGGACTACTGGGACGAACCTATGGAACGGCGACAGCGGGTACTTGCGCTGTGATATAATGTCTGTGTAAAATGTATGCCTGTATTGATTTATTGTTTATGTGTAATGTGAGAATGGTATGTGAAGAATTTTTTATCTTAATTCTTTAAGGTATCATCTCTAACGTATGTGAAGAATTTTTTATCTTAATTCTTTAAGGCATCATTTCTAAAGGTTTCTTTTTTGAAGGCGGTTGCTGGGGTCCATGAGCTACAGTAGCCACTTACCGTCGGGTCGATTGTTACTTGTCGATCGCTTGCCCTTTTTCGCCTAAAATGAACGAGGATCATTTGAATTTAAAATCAGACGATACTAAAATGCTGTTTTATGAATATCATTTTAGTATCATCTGATTAATACTATATATATATATATATAAATAAATAAGAAACGCAAATTATAGATTAATTTACAAATTCAAACATTATCTTTTATGTGTTAACTTGTTATTGAAAAAGTTTTATAAGTATAATTAGCAAAGTTTTGCTATAAGTAATGATGTTGTAAATATTCGCGTCATTTGCCTGCAGTGGGTTGAGTAGGCATATTGGAAATTCTCGTAAATTTTGACGTTATATCCTATTACGATTTAACCTTCGTTCTACTCTTGAAATAATAACAGGTCTATAATTTGCGTATAAAAACAACGACCTTACACTTCGTACAGTAAAGTTGTGTCTTATTTTATATCTTGTGGTTATTAACTAACGTAAAATAAAACTTACTTACTTTATAGTGTATTTTTTGATTTTCTGATTATCATAATGTTTCGAGCTGTGACGATTTTTGTTTTATTCATACATAATGTAAAAGGTGCATCAATTACACCGGAATCTCAAGCAGAAACTGTGGAATATCAAAATACAAACGATGGTAACGGGAATTATTTCTTCAGGTATCATATAATAACACTATCAATTCTTGAAATTTTCTTTATTAAAAGTAAAAGATATCATCCATTTTTTCTGAAGAGTGTACTAAAAACTTTATTTTTTTAAAACACATTGCAGATTTGTAACATCTAATGGCATAACAAGACAAGAAAGTGGGCGTCTTGTTAATGCAGGACAACCTGACGAGCACGTCAACGTGGAAGGTTTTTATTCTTACACGGATTCTGATGGAGTTTTACAAAAAATATATTATACTGCAGATGCCAATGGATATTCTATTCGAACAAAACCACCTCTTGTAAGTAAATAAGCCCAAAAATATGTAACAATAGGTACTAGTAATATTATGACTTGCAGATATATATATATATTTTAAAATGTCATGTTCAGACAAGGCTAATAAATAAAAAATGAGTGCGTTTAAACTCTAATTACAGTTTAAGTGTGCTTATTTTTACTGTTTTTATTTAATAATGATCATCATCATGTCCATTGCTGCTAGGCTTATGTTATAATGATTAATTAGTTTTTAGAAATAATCACTTTGAACTATGGTATATTTATATAAGCCAATGTTGGGGTCTCTCACAGAATACCATCGTAAAATAGCAGCTTAATACTGCTGTGTTTCGTATAGTGAGTGTAGATAACCGAAGATCCTTTTTACTGGAAAAGAAGCTTTCCATCTTAGTACTCACGGGTGACAACGCATCTGCATTTTGAGTCTTTATTGAGAATAGATGTAGATGTCTATGGGTCACAGCAACCACTTACCATCAGGTGGACTGTGTGCTCGTTTGTCATACGTGGTTAATAATTTAATTAACAAATAAAAATTTAAAAAATATAAGTATGTTACAAAAATAAATTTTAATACTTACTACTTTAATTTATTTAATCATCATCATCATCACTACAACTCATCTGAAGTCCACAGCTGCTGCCTTTAAGTTATTTTTTAATAGTAAAATAGGTATTATTAATATTTATAACAGTGGTAGAGCCACGCGGCAGCTTTTGCTGTCGCACGGATGGGCCGGCTCGAACCGGGGTGGTACCACGACCTCACAGAATACCAGCGTGAAGTAGAGGTTTACCTCTGCGTTTCGCTTGGTGAGTGCAGGTGGCCGGAGGCCCTTTTTACTGGTAATGAGGCATTCCATCTTAGTCCTCACGGGTGGCAACGCATCTGCATTTTGATTCGCAAACGAGGATAGATGTAGATGTCTATGGGCCGCAAAAACCACTTACCATCAGGTGGACTGTGTGCTCGTTTGTCACCCTTATCCTATATATAAAAAAGGTATAAATAAGATAATTTGTATATTCAATTTTTATATTTACCTAAAAGAATTTGTGCATATCAGATAGATATGATTTTATCATCATCATTACAGCCCTTCACAAGTCCACTGCTGAACATAGGCCTCCCCCAAGGATTGCTACAAAGCACGGTCCTGAGCAACCTGCCTCCATCGACTTCCTGCATGTCTTACCAGGTCATCACTCCATCTAGTGGGGGGATGCCCTACACTTTGCCTGCCGGTGCGAACGAAGAACCTTTCTTCCCCATCGGTTGTCGGTTCTTCGAGCTATATGGCCGGCTCATTGCCACTTCAGCATACTAACTCTTTGGGCTATGTCGGTTACTCTGGTTCTACTGCAGATATACTCATTTTTAAGTCTATCACGCAGAGAAACGCCGAGCATTACCCTTTCCATAGCTCGCTGAGCAACTTTGAGCTTCCTCATACGGTCAGCAGTAAAGGATCACGTCTCAGATCCGTAGACCATCACTGGCAACACGCACTGGTTTTCAATCTAGTTTTGAGATTCTGAGGTATGTCTAAACAGAAGATATGTCGTAATATCCCGAACACTGCCCAGCCGAGTTGAATCCGTCTATTGACCTCTCGGTCGAAGTTGGACTTACCTAGTCGGACTATTTGTTCCAGGTAAGCATATTCGTCAACAACTACAAGCTTAGTGCTCCCAACAACTACCGGAGTAGGTGTGAATTGGGGCTTCTGCGTCACTTGCACTCGCTTCGCTCGAGCTACATGCCGCTGAAGGCCCCAATTCTCTCCATTACCTCTCTCCATACCGTTTCATTCGGAACAGCATGGCGGATTCAACTCGGGTGGGCAGCGTTTGGAAAATTACGACACATTATGTCGTCAGGTATACCTCAAAACTTGATTACGAGACTGTTCATCCAGTGTTTGTTGCCAGTTATAACCTATGGAACCGAAGCGTGGTCCTTCACTTATGACCGTATGAGGAAGCTCATGGTCTCTTAGCGAGCTATGGAGAGGGCTATACTCGGGGTTTCTCTGCGTGATAAACTTAGAAATGAGAATATCCGCAGTAGAACCAGAGTGACCGACAAAGCCTAGCGGATTAGTAAGCTGATGTGGCAATGGGCCGGCCATATAGCTCGAAGAACCGACAACCCATAAGGAATAAGGGTTCTTGAGTGGCAGCCTCGTACTGGTAGGTGAAGTGTAGGCCGACCCCTACTATATGGAGTGACGACCTGCTAAGACATGCAGGAAGGCGATGGATGAAGGTGGCTCAAGACCGTGCTGTATGGCATTTCTTGGGTAAGGCCTATGTTCAGCAGTGGACTTGTGAATGGCTGTAATGATAAAGATAATGATGATACGTTATATATTTTCAGGCTAATAGAAATTTTTCACCATCCGCAAGTGTCATCGCGTCGTTGCTTGGAAAATGAGTAAATATAACGCATCATAAAAACTCAGAAATTGTCTTGAAACATACAGATTTTAATAATTATTACAACCTTTACAAATGTCACTACGCTGCAATAACTTGTCAAACGTATGTATGTCAAATGTATGTTTATAAGAAATTGGAAGTTTATATAATTTGGAAAAAATACATAAAATTTTAAAATTGTTTGAAGATGGTATTAAATTAAAAATAAAATTTCAACTATATCGGAAATTATTGTAAATAACAAAGAAAGAACACTGTACCTTTTGTACTGTTAAGGTTACAGCCTCTCATAGTATACATCTGATGAGGTTATCTCTAGAGCCATGCATTCCTCCAAATACCACTATACGGTAATAAAATCCAACGAAAAACGCTAGACACAAAGGGAATCGGTGAGCTGTAGTTAGGGAAATTTAAGATAAGGCAACGGAACCCAAGGGGCTAACAGCTGGCCAATTTCATGAAGAAATAAGGACTCTTAATGATGAACTTTTCCTTATAGAAGTGGCCCCACAGAAAGTGGACCTGGTTGAGCTCCCGACAGTTCGACAAAAAATGAGATTGATTTTATTATAATAACTAGACGGCAACATTCAGTGATGTCTCAGTGATCGCGGAGGTGAAAACTCGTAGCGATCACCGAATGGTTAGAGACACACTGAACTTATAAGTCACGTCTAATGAAGTTAATACTCCGTTCCCCTGAGTATCCCCATAAAGAAGAAGTGCGGTGGTCTTGTTCTTCCATAAAGGCGACAACGGGTTCTTGAAGTACAGACCGATTTGCCTTCTGAGTCACGTCTTCGAGAGTCATTACGAACCGTCTCGCACATAGACTCGACGACTTCCAGCCTCCTGGACAAGCTGGTTTACGAAAATGATTTAGCACCATAGACCACATAAATAAAGAATACCGAATAGTGAAGCCGTTGATTCCGTCTAAATTTTGATGGTCCTGCAGTCTTTTCAGTGGTGCTAAATTGACTGTCGGTATATCGGAGTGCTAGAGTATATTTTTTGGGCTTTTGCAATACAGAACCAAAGTATGAAATTTATCCAACTACAGATCAATGTAAGACAGGGTGACGTTATATCCTCAAAATTCTTCACCGCTGCATTGAAAGACTTCAAGCTACTGGACTGGAAAGGGTACGGTATTAACAACAATGGCGAGTATCACTCACCTTTGATTTGCCGACGATATGACAGAATCGCTGGAGGACTTAAGTACTATGCTCGATTACCTCAATAATGCCTCCAAACAGATAGGACTCACGATGAACATGGACAAATCAAAGATTATGTGTAAGGAAGCACTAAACTCGAAGTTGTTGACGAGTTTGATTACCTGGGAAAAATAGTAAGTTCAACTTCCACCGGAGGTTAATCGACGGATGCAATTCTGCTAGGCAGTGTTTAGAAGATTACGACACATCTTCTCGTCTGCTATTCCTCAAAACTTGAAATCAAGATTGTACAACCAGAGCGTTTTGCCAGTGATAACTTTAGGATCTGAGACGTGGTCCTTTAATGCTGGCTGTATGACGAAGCTTAAGGTTTCTCAGTGAGCTATGGTGAGGGCTATGCACGATAAACTTTAAAATGAGGATATCCGCAGTAGAAACAGAGTAATCGACCTATCCCAACGGATTAGTAAGCTGAATTGGAAATGGGTCGGCCATATAGCTCGAAGAACCGACAACCGACGGGGAAGAAAGGTTCTCGAGTGGCAGCCTCGTATATATATGTATGTCGAAAATTCAACAGAAGATCCCAACTGCGATCTCGGAAATACATCAGCCTAGCATTAGTTATTAAAAATATTAAGTGGGAGAGCGGATATTGAACTTGCTCTCTTGCTTACGCAATTAATCATTATCAGTAATAAGACAGCGTAACGCACTATACATTCAGTATAAAGAAATTACAGTTCGACGACACCGTAACACGACCCTGCCACTATCACACACCAGTGTAACGTGAGGTGTGTGTTAAGTAAATCAACGGGTAATTTTTGTTGAGAAAAATTAATTATTTGAGTCTTTTTTAGGTTTATTATTAAATTATTTGACTTAAGCCAGCTAATTTTTTTTACATAATTTTTAAGTCTAATTATTTTATATGTGTATCCTTACTTCATTTTCATTTGTAAACTTATTATTGTGTGGCAATAAATATTTATAATTATTATTATTAATTATATTTTTCAGGTCGTTTTTAATTTAATTTTCATAATTCTTGCATGCCTAGCACAAAGCGCGTAGGTATGTTCTTCTAGCGCCTAAAAATCAAGATTCGAACGTTTTGTCGCATAAAATCGTATCTAACAATCATATGAACATATAAATGCACGATATAAAAAGCACATTCTCAGAAAGATTAATAATTTTTTTAACCTATTAATAATTTTTTAAAATCGATTAATTGCTATTTTTACATAAAAAAGTGGTTTAGTTGCTTATGGTGTAGATTTATCAAGTCCGCATGGAGTAGTACACGATTACTTTGGAAAATATTAATTGTTTAACTCAATCTATTTTTTAATCTCTTCATCTCTCATGTGGAAAGCCATGGAGTGTAAATCACAGTTTAAATTTGTTTCGCTTAGTTACAATTAATTTTTTTCGGCTATCAAATGGCGAAATTTTCGGTGTTTTAGCAGCATTGTATTAATTTATTTTTTGTAAATAGATTGCAGCAGTCTGACTGCCTCACCCAGTTCGGCGTCATTCGCCGTCGTAAGCGGATACTGTATTGGTTGTTTGCAGTAGCTAAAAAAGATCGCTGTACAAATACAAAATATTCCAAAAACCAAATTTCATACATACTTGATTATTATAATAAACAGAGATTTCTAGTACAATATTTTAAATGTACAGAATAAATAATAGTAGTACGTACTAAAAGTAAGTAGGATGTATATATTTAAGTATATTTATATTTAAATATGTCTTGGACTTTATGGAGTTACCTCAATGATGATATGATGATCGTATGAGCATTATGAGTGCACTTCTGTATTTACCAATTTTTTTTAATTTGAAGTTTGACATAAAATTATTGGAAAATTGGAAGTATAATAATAAGGTTATTAGAAAAAACTTGAGTGTATTTAAACCACTTTAAAAATCCCTATAAACATGTTATACGTAATTTTTTAATGCGCTTAGGACATATACAATTGTTTTTATATCTGCACATGTAAACACCATAGAGCTATCATTTGCAAATAGTCATAGGAACTTTACGCTATTAGGTAAGTCGTTAATATATACAAAAAATAATATAGGACCAAGTACGCTTCCTTGAGGAAAACCAAAATTTGAGGATTATTTGTTTTTAGTCTTTGGACAAATCCGTGATACTTGAGTAATTTGAATCCTGTTTGCCCAGTAGGATTTTATAAAACCATGTGTCCTGCCTCTTACACCGTATTTATTTAATTTTATAATTAACAAGTCATGTATGACAAAATCGAGAGCCTCCAAAATATCCATATATAGGGCTGTCACGGGTACTTTTACACGTTACACGAAAACCTTTATACGTTGGTTTTGTATCATTAAAACTACATTATATCAAAAACGCGAAGTTGAATGTCAAAATTTTGATTTCAGACTTTATTTGACTGGACTAAATTAATGAATATATCACACACACATATATATACATCACTGACCTCTATTTAAACAAGTAGGCTGGACTCGCTATACCATACAAAATGCTTATGCCGATTTGAAGCGCCCTCATTGTCCGTACCTGGAACTAAGTTTGACATAATATACCAAAGTATTTAAATCGTATATCTGTATTTTGAACTTTTAAACTAAAAAATGAAAGTATTTTATGTGGTTTGATTATGTTTGATTTTAGTTACATAATAAGAATTATACTTAGTAATAGGGAGTGTGCTTCATTGTAAAACTCGTTACCAAAAGGAAAGTGGGATAACATTCCACAATTTATTGAATTTACAGCTAATATTAAACAAATTAAAACTATTTGATAATATAGTTACTTAGAAATTTGTTACTTAATTTTAATATCGTAATTACCACCATGTTTGGCTTTATATTACTGAGTTTTGATAAACAATTAAATTCAATAGGGTTGTCGAGTTCCTTGTCTATAATACTTATCGATGTTCTTTTCTACCCATATCTATTAACACTCAAAGTCACCGACAACAGATAATTATCAAATGTTTATTAATTAACAGTTTTCCAACTTAACCTAGACTAAAATTATGGCTAAAAAGAACAAAAATTGGGAATTGGCGTCTGAAACACATGGATTATCTTTGTTGTAAACACTTCACATACGACTGTTTTATTGGACACGAGAAAGGCACCCCTTTGAAAAAGTGCAGTATAACCCACAATATTTTCTGATAGTACCAATACCAGTAAGTAAAAAAATATTAGGAAAATAAGATTTCGAAAGTTTTTTATTTCTTCTCTCCTTGTTTTCCCCCAGAATCAATCAATATGATCAATCCAGAAATGTCGCCTGATGATAATTTTGTGTATTTAAATGTGACCAAATTATTATATCAAGGGAATAAATTTATATTGGGACTGCAAAATTATTAATGTCCTTAGTGAGTTTAGGGGTGGGGGGGGGGTTTGGTAGCCGTGGCTTGGTAAACCATGATAAACGTAGGATGACTCAGATGGCTGGCCCGAAGTGAAGGGCTAACCCAAGTTGGCCACTCTAAGTGGGCTCGTCGAGGCTTTGGATGTGTGTTAGTGAGCTGCGGCTAGAAGAGAATCCTCTCTATATCGCTGCAGCCGAGGTGGAGTCGCAAGGGAAGAGGATTGTTGGTATAGCGATCTGTCACTCGACTATCCTTGGCTAGTTTGGTGAGGCTATACCACTGGGTGCTATCGAGTGCTCATTTTTCTTTCGTTCTTAGTGAGCCTTATCTGAGAAGAAAAAGGTGGAAGAGAAGTCCTCAACTAAGAAGGGATCATCGCTGGCGGTACAGCTCATGCG